ACGCTCCTATTTGGTATCATATGTCTAACTTGAGTATCTATGCTAATAGGAAAATTATATTTATTTATCTGTAGCTACATCCAGAATTATGTATTTATATCAAACTTCTTTATATATTCTTTTTTATCTTTCTTATTGTTTAAATAAATATTCTTGTAGATATTTACAGTATCCTTGTAGATATTATTTAATTATTTCTACATCTTTGAGAATATTCTAAAAACAATTTACGGTATTAAATTTCGTTATTAGGGTACCCTTCCCGTAAACGGACAACTCTCATAAACGGACAAATTTTTTAGTCCCGTGAATGTCCTCTTAACGGAGGTTTCACTGTATATAGTATTACATTTTATAGGTGGAAATATATACTGTTCGTAATTTATACATACCGAATGTGTATGCTCGTTTCATTAAGTATGTTTGTCTAAGTTTAACTCATAACTAAGTTTTGACTTTTACTCGTTTTTCATATCGTTTCCCTAAGTATTTTTTTGTCTCTTATTGCTACACATATTCACATGGTTATGTAAATCCTGATATTTTTAATATATATTATGACATTTAAATGAGCGCTTTATTGTGCAGATTTCATCGCAAATATTAACTCTTTTTATTGTTAGACTTTTCAACGGAGTTTTAAAAATCCAGATATTTTTAATCTCGTGTTAAAACTACTTATGATTTTCAAATCAAGCATTTTAATCATTGGTTTTGAAGTGTTTTATTTGTTCAGATTTCATTTTCAATCTTATGTTTTTCAATATTCTTTTACCTTTAAGTTGCTACTAGTTATTTCCACATTTTTTTAAAATCTCGATACTTTTAATCCGATATTATTATAACACGTGAAATTGGAGCATGTTTTTTTTTTTTAAACTGTTTGCTGTTTTGGAACTTTTTCTAATTTTTTGTAACTTAAAGTGCTCAAAAAACTATTTTAAGATGTGAAATTCATAAAATCTCTTTAATGCACAAAATATAAATGTTTTAGGACTAAAAATATACTGCATTTGTTTTATTTTAAATCATTTTAGACCCCATACAATTTTTTTGATTAAAATATTTGCATTTATGTTACTCAATAAAATATTTATCTTTTTTATTTTTAACTTTCATTCAAGAACATGAGCTAATTTATNGAATACAGTGTATTTGTAAAGTGATCCTGACAATAAAAAGGTGTTATTTTCTTTTTTATTTTCTCTGCTAAAAGGAATTAATGAGTTATTTTTATTCATAATGGCTAGTCGAGGAGAAGAAGAAAATATCGAATTACACTGCTTAGGTTAATGTAATTTCGTTCTCCCACCACATTTACGCGTAATCCATCGCCAACTCCACCTGCAATCGCCACGTTTACAATCTACGGTATGTTTTGTCAATACGCTTACGGTTAAGATATAAATTTTCTCTGTTGATTTAGAAGTAAGGTGACCCTTTTTTTGCTCTGTTTTTCATAAAGAGAAAAATAACTTTTCCCTGGTATTCCTATTGTCTAAGTTTCCAAGTAAATTGTATAGAAATAAGAAGTGGTTAAATTATATAAATATATTTCGGTTTTCAGTTAAATACTCTGACAAAATTATATACAGCTGTTGCATATTTTACTTAAATGACTAGCCCCTTAAGCTTCCCACAAACATGACACAGCTTGTGGAATTTTTCTTTGTATGTGGTTCATAGTAACAGTTTTTAAGATAAAATTTTTTTAACAGAAAAGTTCCTTGCATTCCATAATTTAGGACAATCATTAAATTAAGATCTATGAATCAGTGTAATCGTTAAATTAATACAATTATAGATTTCTGTAGATAGATCTCCTTAAATTAGTACAAGTTTTATGGTGCATTTTTAAACATGCATACAATGAAAATTCCGAAAGTGAATACATTATGCTTTTACAAAATAAATTTTTTTGTTAAATCTTTGAAAATAAAAACTTTATTCTTTATTAATCTGTTAAGCTATTTTTGTTTTAAAATTGTAACTATTTCCAACTTAGATTAGTTTTTACTTAATAACATTTTAAAAAGCACCCTAAAAGTATGCTAAGGAATTTTATTTTATAGCCAGTGCACCCTGAACTACTATATTAAATTGTGTAAATGACAGTTTAAGACAAAAAAAAAATTCTCTAAATATATTTCCTTTCTGATTAACTTTAATTATATATCAAGAGATACCAGATATAAAATGGTTATTGAACTCAAGAATATTTTTTAAATCATTGTCATTTAAAAAAAAAAAACGAAACTTCTTCCACTTTCTACAGGATACCTGACAACAAGCACACACATACAAAATACTAGTACATAAACTTAATATTTATTATTTTTAGTGAAGTTATATTACTTATTATAGTTTTTAGTTATATTACTTACCTGTTAATTTAATAAGGACAAAAAAAAATTTCTTTTGACATTAGTCAAAAAAGATGTAAAAATGTATTCTTAAAATTAATCTACATCATGTTAAATTATTAAATAATTTTTGAAAAAGGACTGGGACATGAAATTACAATTTACTGTGTGCAAAATAAATATTCTACCATTTATAACCTTCATCCTACACATTAACATGCCAGCCCCACAATTCCTGGTTTAAGGGTCAACTAATTAGTGCAGTGTCAACTAATTAGTGCAGGTTACAAAATCAATTACAGAAAATGTACTTTCTCTCAATAAACATACTTTTTTTCAACTAAATTGAATTTTTTTGATCTGCAAGTTATGAATAACAACAATCTGTAAAATATGGCCCAATTAGTTCAGTCAAAAGGGTGGTCAAAAATTTGAGGATCTTAATATTAATTTTTACTCTTTGATGTTTTACAATCTCTCTATAAATGTTTGAAAACTAAAGAAAAATCTTTATATCCATGTATAAAACTATTTTCTTCAAAGACAATTTTATGGAGAAAATAATTAATGATTGAATAAATGTTTGATTATAGGAATAAATTTTTTTTTACTCTCTAAAACTAATTTTAAGTGTAAAATGTGAACAAAATTAGTTTATAAAAAAAAAATTTAAAGGAGCTATTTTTATTTCTCCGGTTACATTCAACAAATAAAATTCAGAATTAAATATAAAATTTTGCTACTTATAATTACCTAATTCAAGAGGATATAAAAAATTTTCCCCTTACAGCTCAAAATATTTTTGATCTTAAGTAAATAAAATATATTTAGTTATTAAAAATGAATTTTAGTGTCTTCTCTTTGGATAAATAAATGTCATAAATTAGTGCCATTCTTCTTGATTTGCGCTATATTTTGATTTGTGATATATTTTGTAACTTCAATTATAGCTTGCAAAAATTAGTAATGTTGAAAGTTACAAGGCGTAAAATGCTTATTTTGCGCACTCTTATATTTCGATGGTTCTGTCTCTCTAAAAAATGTAAGACTAATAATCGAAAATTTTAAAAAAAGGTGTAAATGTTTACATGTTAATCTTTTTCTTTTTTTAAATTTAAAATAAATTATTTTTGTTATAGAATAATTCTAAGTAAATATTTATTTTTTTACACTTCTAGTTTTTATTTTTTTATTTTGTCAACTGCCCAGTAGAAAGTGAAAGAAGGTTTGGTTTTCTTTTTGTGTAACAATGATTTAGAAAAAAATATTCTTTTTCGTGTAATAACCCTCATTACCAATCTCTTCATAAAAATATAATAAATTTAATAAAATCAAAAAATATTCATATCAATATGGAAATATATTTCTTAGCTTAAAAAATATTTCGAAAATTTTCTCAATAAGGAACGAAGATTTAATTTGTTTTACTATAGTTGGTAATTTTTCATGGTTACAAACTGCACTATATAACTTTGATCACAATAATGGTGTTAGAATTTCGATACTTACAATTTCTGAAAAAATAAATCCATAAATTTATTGATGGAATGTATATTTCAATATCTCAAGAGCAAAATGGGATCATGTTGCAACTCTCAGCTATGCTATTTATTCAATCTAAATTTTCGAAGCAGTAAAAATAAACAGTGCCAGAAGCTATGCCTAGTGCAAAACTAAAAAGAAAACAGATGGAAAGCCAAAGAGAACAGGGCTGTTCTCTTTGGCGTGGAAACAAACCTCTTGAGAGATTTGTTTTCATAGAATTAAAATAAGTGATCTCATCATTTAGTTACCCACATGTATTTCTTCATAGTTTTAATTAAATAGAACACATATGATAAAATATTTATTTAAAAATTGCTGATATAAATAAGTTAAAATAAATCTTTAGTTATTTATAACAAGATGCTATAATTTAAGGGGATTAATGATGAACCATAGGAAAGACACAGCTTTGTATAAATTATAAGAACAATTGGAGTAAATCTGTAGACATACTTCATCACCATTTTGTAAACCAGTTTCAAATGCTTCTTTATAAGAAAATGTTAGGCTGTTCCATGTAACTGGAGGAATGGATCTAAAATTGAAATATTACAACAGTAAGTTAAAATTCAAATGTTGTTTCACTTCAAGGATCATTTAATAAAACTTTTTATTTGCAATAAGATTTGCAGTTCTGATCAACTGATGCTGCATCTTGTGTGTACGGTAAAGCCGCGATCTAGAAAATATTAAAAATTGCTCAAGCAATTTAGTTAGAAGAGCGACCAAGTTTGAGCTTCTTATATTTACTTTTTACTCAGTTTGCCAATGGAACTATTAAAGTGAATAGAAAAAAAAATTTTCCGACAATTATAATGGTCTTTTACCTAAAGTTAATTTCATGAAGAAAAAAAAATAATAATTATTTTAATAATAGAAAATTCAACTTCTTAACAGGGCCGTTAAAATAGTGGTTGAGATAGGGAAATGCTACGAACATTAAATTTAGTACCCCGAATTTTGATTTTGTCATTTAAAATTGCACAATTAAATCTTCCACACAAATCTCTAATGTAAAAATTTTTTTACCTTACAATATTTTTCGATTTATAAATTAAGTATTGGAGAAAATTATAAAAAATCTGTTTTGCAGGGAATTTTCAGATAAACGAGTTTTATAATTGTAAACTTTCTTTTATTTATTTAAATAGTTCTGTAGATTGGTGAGGTATGCAAAAAGTAAAATCAACCTTAAAGGATCAAACTTCTGATCGCTCTCATATTGAAGCTATATTTTCCTCATATTCTAACTACCTCCAATACTTTGAAGGTCAAAAGCCATTATTCTTTGGGGAGAGGGGAGTATGTTTGCTCAGCTTGTGCGATTTTGTAACTTAAAACATATTCCGCACTAATTAACTTTCATAATTAAGATCTTTACACAGAATTAAAAATCTCAATACTACATGAAAATCTAATAATTTGATAAGTTATTCAAGGGTCATAATCGCACATATATAGAAGAGGAGCATGCAAAAGTCACAGCGAACTGATTATTTTTTCTTTCTTTTTACTGAAAAAAATATTTTGTTTTGTTTATTTTTTATTAGTCCTCTAAATCCCCTCGTGACTACATTTCTATTCTTAAGGTTTCATCAAAATCCTGAGGGAGGGAATGGATAGTGAAAAACTGCTTGTATCTGTTTTTGTTCATTTAGTGCTAGGTTTTAGAAAGAATGGCTATTAATACGGGTAGTAATCTGCAATAGTAATATCTTGATTTTGGCTATGTGGTTGGCAAGTTTTTTGCTAAAGATGTCTGCATAATTTTATAGAAATGCTTAAATTAACTTAAATGTTGAACTTTTTACTATAATTTCTCTTAAATTTCAACACTTGTAACTAATAGAATATCTGAGAAGGATAGGGACTTTGTGCTATGTAGACTAAAGCAAAAAACGTGAATGCAACAAATGAAGGACATTTCAGTACTTTCATTTGTGCTTTATTCACATTGCTTTTTGCTTTAGTTTAAATATTAGTCAGTTAAATGTTTAGCAGATGACTTATGGTGAAACAAACTTCACCCTGAAATAGCCCCATCTAAATTTCTTCTTACTTTTGATAATGTAATCCTCAAATGTGTTAAATTTTTTTATTGATTTTAACTCATTCTATTTAAGTCAAACTGAAATAAGTAGATAAGCATTACGATAATATATTTAAGAAAAAACAGCATCGCCATTTTTAATTATAAAAAAACCCATTCTTGCAGAAACTATTGACTATGACAGATTGGGTGTTTGTTTTCGTCGGAACTGAGATATATAGCAGTTTTACTCCAAGCATGTAAATTTTTGACTCCCAAAAGTAGTTTGGGTAAAAAACTCGTCCAAAATTTAAAGCAAAGAAGAAAAAAAAAATTTGTAATTTTTTATTTTCATTTCATTTTTTATTCAGCTGCGTTTTTTTTTTTTTTTTGGCATGAAAATGTGATTTCTTTTTTTTTCTTCTGTTCTGTAATGTAAAATAAAGTTAAGGCGTAGTTAAGAGCCAATTATTTAAAAATTTCGCAAATCAGGCAAGGGGGATCAGGAAGTTATCTCCTCCCCCCAAGGTGAGATTTAGTTTATCTCGAATTTACTGGGGAGAAGGAAGGGGGACAAAACTTAGTCTTTGCTATCTAAGCAAGTCATATATTTTCAATGTAATATTTTACTCTAAATCGAATGAAGTCACACCCAACTAGATATATCTAACTGTTAAAGTTATTTATAATCTAATATCATATATAGTTAAAGCTCATGTAAAAAAAGAGCAAATTCTGAAAAATTTTCATACTTATGCATCTGACATAGCTATCCAGTCAAGTGAGGTATTGATTCCTGTGTATTTTTTAAGCAATCAATAGAAACACTTCAGCTCACGAACAATTTAAAAGTTTTAAGTAGGAAAGTGTTAAAAAAAGAGAGACATAAAAGATTTATGAATAAAAAATACAGTTATAACTTTCAAATTGTTAGCGAGCTGAAGTGTTCATAAAGATAATGCTTAAAAAATGCAATGGAATCAATACCTCACTTTCCTGGATAGCAATGTCCGACGCATAAATATAAATGAGTCAGAATAAGCACTTTTTCAACATTAAGCTTAACTATCTTCTTAATTATTCGATATATCAACTTTGGAATGATTTCATTAGATTCAGCGTAAAAACTACATCGAAAACATGTCACCCTAGATAGCAATTACTAAGTTTTGTTCCCTTCCCACCCAGTAAATTATAATGGACTAAAGCTGAGTCGTGGTGGCTCAGGGGATAGAGCGTTCACCTTCCATTGAGGTGAAGGGTTCGAAACCCAGCGATGGCTGATCGATACGAATTCCGCACTCGGCTTGCACCGACCACAGTGCTGACGTAAAATATCCTCAGGGGCAGACTGACCATGGGTTAGAGTCCCCTTGTCAGACCAATCACTTAACACAAATGCGATTTAGTTCCATCAAACAGTCCTCCACGAAGGCGAATTTCTTCCAATACTTGATGCAGGAGTTCCCTTGTCATCTAGATTGGGTTCAAAATTACAAGGCTATAGAGTTGAACATCAGTAGTCTTAAACCCTAAATTGGATCGGCAATTTAATGACGGTTATAAAATAGATTTAAAGCTCAACTTGGGGGAGGGAGACAACTTCCTGATCCACCCTTGCCTGATTTGCCAAATTTTTAATAAACTGGCTCTTAACTTCTTCGTCTTGACTTTATTTTAACATTACAGAACAGAAAAGAAGTCACATTCTCACAAAATGATGGCAAATAGTAAATTCTTTATAGAGAATAAAGCTGACCTCGGGATAGGGTGTTTACTTCAGATATTTCTATTGGGCCAAAATCACATTTTTTTAAAAACAATTTATAGCTTTCCCCATGACCAGGGATCGTGAAATTGGAATTTTGAGCAGCAACTATATTTTTAGCTCTTCAAATACTATCTGACATTTTTTTATAGTTCAATATTCATGTAAAAATTGTTTTTTAAAAATCGGTCTGAGAATCGAAATTTGCGATATTTTTTTCCCGTTCTCCCCCGTATTTTCAACAACAGAGAAATATCTTAATTTTTCTTATCTTCGCACTGTTGCGTATTCCTAATAATATCGTGTTAGAAAAACAGGAATTTTAAAAAATCATTTAGAATTCCATAAAAATAACTGGATAATTGCGTTCGAAATCGGCATGGTGCTGAATCGAAATCAGTGCAGAATCGAACTTAAGTGATTGAAGATTGATTTACTCGTATGAGCGATTAGAGATTCACGAGTTGTGATGATTTCGATTTAAATGTATGGGGCTTTATTAAATTATTTAGATATCCATGGGTATAACTGTCGAAAAAGAGGATTGTAAAAATGTGAATTCACGACGAATTCGACGCAGATCGAACGCGTGGGTCAAAGAGTTATTTAAATGAGTGATTCGAAATTCACTTGCGTAAATGATTAAATGTATCGCGATTTCAAAAAAACTACGTACAAATCTATAACAGTAATTTCTAAAAATGTACTTTGATTTGTGATGAAATCAATGCAAACTTTAATGAATGTGGTCGAAAATTATTAGGTGATAATTCATATTGGAGATTCACTAATCGTACTATTTAGATTTAAAAATCTCAGGATTTTAAAATTACATGGAAATTCATGGATAAAACAGACGAACAATGTGAATTCTAGACGAATAACAATGTCTATTCACGACGAAATCAGCACAAATCAAACGCGTGAATCAAAAAGTTATCCAAATGAGAGATTCGAAATTTACTTGTATATCCTATTAAAAATATTCTATTTTAGAACAGGTTTGAACAGCCAACTAAATTCTAAGATTACGGCACTCAATGATTGACTCTGTGGGCTTGTAATTTGTAACCCCCCCCCCCATATGACAAGGGAACTCATGGATCAAGCATTATTTTATTTTATTTTATAACCGTCGTTGAACAGCCGACCCAATTTCATGGGTTTACGACTACTAACGTTCAACTCCATAGCCTTGAAATTTTGAACCAATCCAGAAGACAAGGAAACTCCTGGATCAGTACCCCCAAAGGTATTGATTTGTTGTGGGAACATGGAGGACTTTGAGACTCGACAGATTTAACGTGCATCAGTCACCATTTACTACACGGGGAGTCTTCGGCCGGCGAGAATCGAACCCACGACCTCTCGGATATGGGCCCAGCGCCCTACCGACCAGGCTATCCCGGCCCCCCGTACGTTTTTCTCGAGATTTTTCATGTTATTTTGTAGTCCTATATTAATTTAAGTTGCATTTTTCTATTATTGCAAGCTTACTGTCATTTTCCCCCCTCCACACAAAGTTTGGATTAGGAAAAGAAATTTAGAGTCCCGTAAATATGTGTATGATCCTGTACTCGAAGGTTTATGATATACGTTACTTTCGATTTAAGAGAGAGTCATGAAATATTTTTTGTCTGTGCTAACTGTGCTTTTGTCTAACTAGCCTTCGTGGAGAACTTTTTGATGGAACCAACCAGCATATAGAGAGGAATACCTCACACGGTTAGCCAGATGGCAAGGTGATTTTAACTCATGATCCACCTACCACTGATGATATTTTATGTCAGCACTGCAGCACCGTGTTCGGTGCGAGCCGGGTGTAGAATTTATATCAACCAGAAACCACTTGAAATTGAACTTAGGTCACTTCCTTGGGATGCGAAGGCTCTATCCCCTCTGCCACCGCAGCTCAGGATAACTATTGGGATTTTAAAAAACTCTGCAGAAATCTGCAAGATTTATGATGAAATCGACTCAAACTCGAATCCGTCAAAAAATCTCGTAAATGTGCGATTCGAAACTATCGTGACATATTAATTTCGAATTTTTTAAAAAAATAGAAAAGCGTGCTCGATTCAATTTTATTTTTGCTAAGTAATAAAAGCATAGGTTTTTATTCAAAGCAATTTTGTAATTTTTGCGCCAAGTGGGTGATTTTAAAATTATTCTTATATTACTGCAAAAACATATTTTGAAATTAAACATAGATTAATATTCTGATATTTCTTTAGAAAACTTTATATTTCATTATGTTGTAATAGATATTTTATTCATTTGTAATAAGCATTCCAAATGTAAATATTTGATTTTTATCTATGGATAAATTCAACAAAATTTCAAATTTGAAAGAGGGGAAAAAAAGCTATAAACTGAGAAGGTGGCTAGTCCAAATTTTTGCTAGCTGCCAACACTTTTCAAATTTTTGGAGCCCTGCCCATTATTATTTTTATACTCAATTACTTACAGTATTTTATATTTAATTAATTCAATTTCGATATCAGACAATTTAACTTTTCGTCTGCCTTGTGTTTATTCAGATAAATATATTGATAAATATATTATAGATAGCATTTAAAAAACCAATACTTACAATATGTACTTAGTTACTTGCAAGCCAATTGTTCCAAACTTAGAAGGTTCTGCTCCTATTTCACACAGTAAGCGTTTAACGCATGTATTTTTTTCCATCTCATTTAATACATTAAACAATCGCTCAGAAAAGTTTCTATCATCATTTTGGGATAATGTCTTAGCCATGTATCCTTTTCTCTTTTGAACTTCAGCAAATTTCATTTCGGCGATTGTACGATTTCTCATTTGAGCTCTTCGAATTCTTGTACCTTGATCACTTATGTAACGAAATCCACTTGTTTCATACATTGTTTTGGCACTTTGACCAATTGCATCCCCAATACCAGATTCTAAGAAGTATTGTCTCACAGGATTGCTGGCGGCCCAATATCCAGTTGCTGCTAGAAGTGTAGCGCCGCAATGTGATACTGTAGCAGCTAAAAACAAGAAGCAGAAAGCTGACTTCATGGCTGAAACAGAAAAAGGTTATTAATAAGATTATAAACTTCGATGTACATGTACTGCTTTATGCAGCGCATATGATCTAACACTTTTTTAAGTTTCGGACATTTCGGTTTTTAAATATATTTATGTCAATAATTTTTTTTTATTATGAATAAAATAATGTATAGCAAAAAAAAATTTTACAGCAACATTTTGTTTCATAATTTTAAAAAATTAATCTGAAATTGTATATATTTTTTAAATATGTTTTTGCTTTATTTATATTTTGTTAAATACAATTTCTAAAGCGTCAGCCAAAATATAAAACTGCGAAGAGAATTTTATGACGAATGTTTTTTTTCTCCCTAATCTTTAAAACAGTACTTTTTCAATTATCCTATTAACTCAGTAAATCTTTGGAATATTTTATATGAATAACATTGCTTTGGAAAAAGCAATTAGAGATACCAATATAATGTACTAGAGTTACAATTATCTATAAGTCTGTTCAGTTATTGGTTTGTGCGGATTACATTGATTTAATAGGATGTACTTAACAGGCTGTTTAAGAGACTTTCTCCAAGCTGGGGGCTTCTGATAAAACAATTGGAATAATTTCCTTACTTTTTCTTTAGTTCTGAAATGGATGCTATTTAAAAAGACATTTAGAAAATAAAGAAATAGCCTTATTATTTATATTCATTCTTACGAAATCTCAATGTAGTGCGCTAAAGAAAAAACGGACCACCTTCAACAGCTTTTGACCTAGAGATCGGACTATCTTAATAGTTCGAGATTGTGACCTAAAATATGTTAACTAGTGCAGTCTGCACTAATTAACGTATTTTAGGTGCACTAATTAGCGATAGTCGATAACGATTAGTCTGCACAGATATTTTAAGTTACGAAATCAGAAGCAAAAACGTACTTTCTCAGAAGAAATCGAATTTTAAAAAAGTCGTATTTTTAAAATTCGATTTTTCATGAACTATTAAAACGATATCGTTCCAATTTTGTATTTTGCTTCGTAAAATTGAATTTAAAATGAAAAAAATTGTATACCTTATAATTCAATTTTTCGACTTGTTAAATAAAATAATAATTACTAAAAGTAATTTTTTGCACGGAATTATCTTTGGATAAATGAATTTTATAATAGTGAGTAAAAGATTTTCAATCACTAAAAAAGTTCGAGATGGCTAAATACGCAAAAATTAGCATTAAGGGGTCCTAACTATAAACCGCTCTAGTGTTCAAACTTTTGGGACTATATTTCCGAGGTTGCTGCTTTTCCCTATATTTGGGGGGTCAGAAATCCAAATCCCGTCTATTAAAAGATATTTTTATTAAATTAAAAGTTATTTACGGTGATTTTTTTCTTTCGATTGCTCTGCACCTCTTTGCTTTTTCAAGGAATTAAAAAAAAAGACGACATTTTCTCAATATAAAGACACCAAAAATAATTCTTGTCTTTGTTTGAATCTTTGCTCTTCAAATGAATCTGTCGTGTTTTCTAGTAGTAGTTTTGAATTATTCCCAATGAAGGTGTTAAAACTAAAACACAATTAAGAGCAGAAAATTTATCTTAAATTTAAAGATATATTTAATATAATTTTTCTTACGTAGTGCTCAAAATTAAAAATGAACCACCCTGAATAACTTCTGATCTAAAGATCGGAACTTCACATTCTATAACTCAATCTTAATGGTTCAAGGGGGAGAACTCAATTATGCCAATTAATTAGTGCAGACGATATTTTAAGTTATGAAATCAGGCATAAACACGTACTATCTTTGAATCGACACATCTTTTTATCGACGGATTCGGATTTCTGATCTCAAAAACATTGAAAGTAGTCACAATCTGGGAAATATGGTCCCAATAGTTTAGTCAGGAAAGCGCTCCAAAGTTTGGACCCCTTAATGTTAATTTTACTTTCTGCGTATTTCATCATATCTCGAGAAAGTTTAAAGCGAATTGAAAAATATTTTCAACAATTATGAAATTCATTTATCCGAAGATAACTACATGCAAAAATAAATTTTAGTAAATATTTATCATTTATTATTTTATTTAATATCAGTCAAAAAAGTTGAATTGTAAGGTATACAATTTTTTTACTTTTTAAGGAATATAATTTTACATGACAAAATGCAAAACTGGAGTGAAATCGATCGAGTAGTTTCTGAGAAATCTTATTTCAAAAAAGAATATTAGAAATTTGATTTCTCAAGAAGTATTCGACAGATTTAACTCAAATTTGTTTTTCCATGTAAATTAATATTCTTTGAAAAAAATGTAAAAATTATATACTTTACAACCCATAAATTTTTTGACTAATATTAAATAAAATAAAAATATGATAAATATTTATTGAAAGTTATTTTTTTGCATGGAATTTTCTTTGAATAAACGAATTTTATAAATCGTGTGTAAAATTTTTTCAATTAGCTCAAAATTTTCTCGAGACATGGTGAAATATGCAAAAAGTAAAATTTACATTAAGGGGTCTAAACTTTGGACTGCTCTCTTGACCAAACTATTGTTACCATATTTCCCAGATAGCGACTACTCCCTATGTTTTGGAGGTCAAAAATCCGAATCAGTTGAAAAATAGGTATACTTATTCAAAAAAAGTAAGTTGTGTTTCTAATGTCATAACTTAAAATATGGTCTGCACTAATTAATTAGCATATGAGGTTACCTCCTGGAACCATTAAGATTAAGACTTAAAACGTGAAGATACGATCATTAGGATCAAAAGTTATTAAGGGTGGTCCGTTTTTTTTATTTTGTACACTGTACTTAAGTGTTTTGATCATTTTAAGGATTTTAAAAAATGTATGTAGCTTTACATCATTTATTGTAGAATAAAATTTTAGCAATTGTATAACTTTAAATAAATGAAAATTACTGCTTTATTTCCCATAAAAAATTATTTCAATACAAGCCGATGTTGAACAGATCTATGTCAATCTTCAACCATATTTCATTTTATTTAAGTTAAAATAAAAATTTATAAAAATTTAGCTATCATTAAAGAAGTTTAAAAGTGAAATTAGAAGAAAAAAAAAAGATATTTTGCTTTCAACGTTCACTAAAAAAGAATTCAGTTGTAAAAATAAAACCATTTTATAAACAAAGACATTTTCTTATGCTTAAAAAATAATGTCTTTACTTCCAAATTTTGGATTTTAAAGTACTTGACAAGATTCATCAGGAGTTTTAATCATTACAGAGTGTGAGAATCCCGAATTCCTTCCATTTACTAATTAATAGTCTTAAGAATCAGGAAAAAATATTTCCAATTTTATGCCAACATTTCTTTAATAATAGAATGTAGAGTGCTTGATTTTAAAACATGTCATGCATAATACCCAAAAAAGTATTTTGTTACGACTGAAATTTAAAACAGAAAATTGGAGAAAAAAAGTATTACCTGCATTCATTCAGTAAATAAACAGTATCACGAACTATACACTTTGTTTTTATACTCAAACTGATAGATGAAAATTATTACTATTAAAAGAGTGCTGTAGCCTGAGTTTTCAATGCAAAAATTGAAAAGATAATTTTAAATACAAATAAAATATCATGGCCGCAAGAATTTTCATGGGATAGAGTTTATTGCTAATTTCTGATCCTATCTATAAAATATCTTCGTTTTAGTTACTCTACGTAAACGAAAAACCGCGAAGTTTACGCAGCAGTTGGCCTAGAGACTTTGAAAGGACTGCCACAGTGAAAGTTGCAAGTTCGTGCAACGAAACTATCAAAAACAATTTTAGTGTTTGCAAGCGAATAACAGGTCGTTGGTCTACCGAAGCGGAGGTGCCATCCCCTCTGCAGAGGATCAAAATTGTGATGGCATGTCTTCGGATCATCCTCAGGGATGTTTCCCAGACCGTCGTCAATAGCCCATTGTGCAGCTCTAGTGCGACGTAAATGAACTACAACAACAACAACAACAGCAAGCGAATAACAAGAATTTTATTGAAGATTTCTGTTGTAAGTCTGANCCACACCTTTTTTTTTTTTTTTTTTTTTACAAATTTATGTACTGAAAAGTACAGTGGTGAGCTGAGTGGCCAATAGTTTGAAGTCTTGGAACATAGCACGGAATTTAGCTCGTTTGTACACCTCAAGAACCTCAGTACTTCGAATGTGCACAAGCACTTAAACCCTCCAAGCGTTTAGCCCATGGGCAGAATTGTGCAGAAATTTTTCTGATCGCACTATTTTTCCATTCCATAACAAGGAGAAACAGGCTTTTTTGGACCGGGATAGTCTGGATGGTAAGGCACTGGACTCTCGTTCGTGAGAACGGGAGTTCGAATCCAGTCGGCCGAAGACTCTCCGTGAAGTAAATGGTGACTGGTGCACGTTAGATATGCCGGGACGCAAAGTCCCCTAGGTTCCTATAACAAATTATACTTCTAGGGGCCCTGGATTGGAGATTGATCATTCTCTGGTTCAAGTCAAAATTACGATCTGTGGATGAAAGAATAGGTCCGCCCTATAAACAGGTGGAACGCATGGGTGTGGCCATAAATGGCTCCACTGGAAAACAAGAACAATCGCACGCCAAGTGCCTTAATGGTTTACAACAGCATCAACAACCTGTTTATGCAGGAAAGCATGCATCTGAAAGTTCGAGAACAGTTGGAACTAACACTCAGAGGGTTAATTTTTAGACCCACCGTTATTGATTCCAATGACTAATATATTTTGTCTGATAGCCGTGTCAAGTATTTAATTGTAGGATAAAAATAAATATTCCATTGTAACGCTGAGATTTGAGATCGAATTTGTGACCTTCCAATGTTTTAGTTTGAGACTAAAGTTTAAGGTACTCTGCTCTGATGCGGTATAATATATTTTCGTTTCCTATGTATTTACTTTAATTATGTATTTGTACTGGTACTTGTACATTTATTTACGTCACGCTAGAGCTGCACAATAGGCTTTTGGCGACCGTCTGGGAACATTCCTGAGGATGAACCATGAGGATGAGGATGCATAGAGGATGACTTCCTCGCCTTTTTCGCCAGATGAGCTGCGCATGGAGACCATAACTTTATGGTAGAACAGTTTAACTAAGATCGATACAGCGCATCCTTGTTTCCTTCGCAAAATGTTCCAAGTGGTCAAGTCATCCACCGCTCACAGACCGCTGTCAGTTGATCTACTGAGAACCTTGTTTATGAAACATTCTCTCTGCATGCCATTCGCATATGCAATCGTTCATCAATGAGATTCACGCATGTGCGAGCTGTTCTTCATACACGTAGTTTCTAAACATTCGCTCGCGCTCGTCTAGAACAATTGCTGTTGTTGTTGTTGTAGTTAATTTACGTCGCACTAGAGCTGCACAATGGGCTATTGCGACGGTCTGGGAAACATACCTGAGGATGATCCGAAGACAAGCCATCTAAATTTTGATCCTCTGCAGAGGGGGTGGCACCCCTGCTTCGGTAGCCCGACGACTGCACGCGAAGTGGAGCACTTTACTATAGAACAGTTTAACGAGGACCAATACCGCACACTCTCGGTCCCTTCGCAGACTGATCCAAGTGGTCACCCACCCGCACACTGACCGCAGGCAGTAATGCTTGACTTCGGTGATCTGCTGGGAACCATGTTTTAACGATCAGTCCACTGCGGGACCTAGAACAATTGCATGCAGTGTGTATGTCATGTGAACCCTATATCCACTAGCTATATATATAATAAAAGAAAGGTTTTAATGTTCAGGTAGGTAGGTATGTCGCACTGGAGCTGCACAATGGGCTATTGGCGACGAAAACATGCCATTACAATTTTGATCCTCTGCTGAGGGGGTGACACCACAGCTTCGGTAGCCCGACCGACAACCTACACGCGAAGTCGAGCACTTAATGGTGGAACAACTTAACGAGGGTCAGTACTGCACCCCCTCGGTCCCTACGCAGATTAATCCAAGTGGCCACCTACCCGCACACTGACCAAAGCCAGCGATGCTTGACTTCGGTGATCTGCTGGGAAGGAAACATCCATGAGGATGATCCGAAGACATGTCATCGCAATTTTGATTTACTGCAGAGGGGATATTAATGTTCCGAAAACCAGTTTATGAAAGCTAAAATGTACCCTAAGAAAATTTAGTATGACTAGCTATTCGCGATCGCAACACTCGAATACGCCATCTGGGGAGAGACCGGTTTCATGCCTTTAGCCCTTCTCCCTTCCCTCTCCTCCTTTTTTCAGTTGTATAGGAATGTGCTACGATACTTTCCCTTTTCTTAATATTTTTCCTTTCTATATAATAAAAATATTTCTTAAAATTTCTACGATACTTTTCTTTAGAACTATGTTTAATGTAGTTTTCAGTTCCATATAGTTTTTTAAGTTAAAAGATTTTAATCTATATGAAAATCAAGAGAGAAACTAACGTACTTCCTTCCTCTATGACTTTCCACACGCTAATGGGGAAAGCATGTGAAGTGTTGCCATAGGAAAAGAGTTCTGCTCTACGCCACCTGCAGCCCATTTCGATCGCCAATTATTTTAGAATGACCCAGAGTAAAAACATCTTTCTGGTGATTGCGACATCTCTTTAAGACTAAAAATGAGCTAAATACCGAAATTTTAAAGTGTCCTTAATGCTACAGAAATAAGCAAGCAGAAACGTTTCGCGATTTAACATAAACAACTTGGCTGAATTTGTCAGTTCAGAATATTTTCTGTTCTGATGGATCAAGCTAATGTAAATGTTTGTTCTAATAAAGAATACGAATCGAAATTCGTGTTCCTATTACAGGCTACTAATTATCCCCAGCGATCCAATATGTTGGACGTGCGAATATTCTTCGGTAAATATTTAATTTAAGATCCAGTTTGTATTTTTTTTTTATTTGTTTATGAAATCAGTAAAAAATTTTATTCTGAAGATTTATTTTACCATTCGAAAAACTAATTTCTATCTAATTTTTTTTTTTTTTTTTTTGAGATCATGTAAATTTTTTGATCAATTAAATTTATCAGGTAAATTAATTACTTCTAGTTCAGTTTTTTCTTATTTCATTATATATTATTTTTAAACATTTGGTTACTTAAAGCTCAATTAAGTGTGTAAAGGTTTGTTATTGAATATAATACTTTTCGTTGTAATATTTCCATTTAATATGTTATTACGCGAGATAATGCTTGCTTACCGATATTTGATGACTTTGATTTGGTATTCAGATTGACTTATTCTTAAACAATAATTTTATTCTAGTAAGATGTTCAATAAGAATCTTTTATCAGAACGATGTATTGCCCAAATTTTTACCCCCGTGTCCAGCAGTTACTTGTTGCATTTATATTATATATATATATGCATCTATAATATTTAGGTCATTCTCAAAAAATTATGTGTTTGAAACATTGTAAATTGTAAAAAAAAAAAAAAAAATTGTTAGATAATTTTTCTAACAGAACTATTTAATAGTTTTCATAACCAATGAACAAATTTAAGTTTTGCATATCTAAAATGATTTTGACTTTAACATTTCAGATAAGTTATAAAAAAATCTATTGTCTAGCCTGTATATGTAGATTTTAATGAGAGTAATTTAGCTTCAACTTTAATTAACTTTGATTTTAACTTAAATTTTAAATTTAAAGCAGTGTGCATGTTAGATAAGGGTTAGCACTTATGCATGCTAGCACATATGGTTTGAAAAAATAATTTTTTAAAGCATTCATAGAAAATTTAGTACTTCTGCAAATATTGCTAGGTAAAATTGTAAATTTAACTCTACTTTAAATGTATAATTATTATTTCTAATACTTTAAATTTAAGCTTAATTGTTATCAAAGCTTTAAATTTAGATCCATGTTGGCCCATTCCTGATTCTATATGGAAAATATTTCATATTCCTGTTTCATAGAATGCACCCATCCACTGTCATTACATACTTAATTAAACTTTGTTTACATTGGAAATTATGTTTAATTACCTTTTGAAATGATTGCAATGCTTGAAGCTTGATGGCCTTTGAAATCTCAGGCTTTAGTCATTAATTATATTTTATTTAATTGCTGAATCTTCTGCATTTCATATCAAAATTGAAAGCATCCATATTGGTTTAGATGTTTCTAATATGTAAATATTTCAGTTTCTTGTTATTCATGTTTTTGTAGCAACTGATACTTTTTTAATGAATTTTGCTGCTCTTCAGATGTATCATCTTATTCATAGTCATCTTTAGTTTATGAATTAGTATATTGGAAATTAATACCCAATTATACTGGGGAACAAGTTTTCTAAAAGTTCCTGTTAAAAGTTAAGTTTTTAATGAATCCAATCAATAATAAATTCAATGTGCTGGACACAAAAAAGATAACGGAACAGCTGGGTTATATACATATTTCAGGGTTCATATTTATTATTGTAAATATTTATGAAGAAGCAGTATAATATTTCAATTTTAAAAATTTTAAAGACCTTCAGTATTTTGCAACAATTCTATCCTAAATCCACCTGTTATTTCAATTATTTTATGGCACTTGAAGCTACAAATTTCCACATAATTCTTCAATTTCTGTTAATTTTAATACACTCGAACCCCGCTATAGTGAACCTGGGATATAGTGAACACTCGGGTGTAGTGAACTTTTTTAGTGGTCCTGTCCGTGCATCTATTCAAATAATGTTATTTTTAACGCTTAATGTGAACAGCTGAAAACTTAGAAATTTGGTTATGGTGGTCTCAAATTTCATTTCTGTAAATATCTTTTTCACCGAATTCTGTAAATATCTATGCATTATCTATTTGAGAC